GGAAAAAAAAAAAAAAAAAAAAAAAACAAATGCTCACAACCCGGAGCTAGCCTTCCGCCCAATGGAAAGCAAGAGGGTCAACATGACACCAGGGCCAAGAGGCAGCCACAGAGATCTGAGGGCCAGGGGAGGCATGGAGATCTTTGCTCCGTGGGGAAGGAGGCTCACTCGAGAAAACTGGTCAGTAAGGGTCACCTACCCAAAGACCAGGTGCCCGGGCAGGTGTGTCCAGAGTTCCACCACCCTCCCTCAGTAACGCTCCTTGACGGCCCTGGGTTTCCTCTCAGGACTGACCCACATCCCAGCATCTCGCCTTCCCTTGATGATGCAAATCCCTTCCCAGGCTCGTATGTTCCCTGGGTCTCCCTCACTAGCCTTTGAGGGTATCCATGCTGAGCCAAAACCTTCCCGTGAGTGACTTATTTAAGACATCCAGTAAACCGAGTCTCGCCTCAAACCAAAGGCCAGGGTAAGGCTCTCGAGGTACAGAGCCCTGGCTGACACCACACCCAAGGACTGGGGGGAAGAGGTGCCCTTCCTTGGCTGTTCCCCAAGGAAACCACCTGGAGCTACCTCCTGGCTGGCTGCTGCCAAGACCCAGCTCCCCTGTGTGGGTCCTGAGTGCCCCCAATACGCCTGTTTGTGGTTGTCTCTGGTTTAATGTGATCTGGCGGTCCTGGCAGTTGCTCTGAGGATCTGACTGCAGTGGTGCTATGTAGGGGTCCCCTGCAAGCGCTGCTCAGTGTCCCCCTCCTGTCCCCGGTTCCAGTCCTTCAGCCCCTCGGGAAGGGATGTGTCCTCCTCCGGGCTGCCAGTGCCCTCCACAAATTCCTCATAGGTGGACTTCTCCGCGAAGGGCCGAGGGCCTAGCAGCTCAATCATGTCAGCCTTCTCTAGCACCTCCTTCTCAAGCAGCCGCCGGCCCACCTGAAACAACGCCCCCGGTCAGGCTCCTGGACACTGTGGCCCTCACCCTGAGCTGCCCCTACACAGCCACTGGCCCCGCTTGCCTTCTCCACCTGCTCCCGGCACTGCGTCAGCAGCTCCAGAGTGCGATCGTAGGCAGAGCCGATGAGGTGCCGCACCTCCTCGTCGATGAGCTGGGCGGTGGCCTCGCTGTAGGGCTTCTCCACCAGGGCCTCACCTTGTCGTGGGAGGTCAAAGGACACCTGGCCCAGCCTCTCACTCATCCCAAACTGTACAATCTGGAAACCACAGGGAGACCAGAATGAGCCTTGCCCTTAAGGGTATGGGGCCGCGCCAGGACACCCACCTCTTACCTGTGCATAGGCACTCTGTGTGACCTTCCTTAGGTCGTCCTGTGCCCCCGTGGTGATCCGCCCAAAGAACAGTTGCTCGGCCACCCGGCCCCCCAGCATCATGCACATGCGGTCAAACAGCTGCTCTCTCGTGTAGAGGTGCTGTTCCCGGGGCAGGTACTGGGCATAGCCAAGCCCCTTGCCCCGGGGGATAATGGACACCTGCAAGACAGGATGGGGCCTGTCAGTCCCCACAGTCCTCACAGGTGCTGCCTGGACTCGTGTGGGAAGGGAGTAGAGGCCTGACCCAAGCCACACACCAGCCAGCAGGGCTTCCCTGGAGAGCAACCCAGGGGCTGTTACACGGAGACTACCATCCTTGGTCCTGCAGCCATGAAGACTCGAGGCATTGACAGATCCCCAGCTTAGGAGCCAAGTGAACTTAAGACTGAAGTGTCAGGTACAAGACCCCAGTGATAAATGTAACTGTATTGTTTGCTTTAAATGTACCAAAAGCTTAATGGAAAAAAAAGACTGAAGTGTCACTACAGTCCATGGCTGAGGCTCCACTTAGAGCCAACAGGCCTGTGCTCTGCCTTCCACCCCCAAGTAATTAATCTTGGACAAACTCTAGAGCAGCATACTCCTAAGAAAGTAAAGGCCATGCCCGTGAGTGCTGTGCCATGCGGGTGGACACCCGAAAAGTGACAGAGCCAGGCCTACCAGGTGTTGAGGCCACCCTGCCTCAGCAGACACAGTCATGGTGACTGACCTTCAGCAGGGGGTCTGCATGCTCCAGGAACCAGCCTACCACTGCATGCCCGGCCTCATGGTAGGCCACGGTCATCTTTTCATTGGGGTGTAAGACCTGGGTCTTCTTCTCAAGGCCTACAAATCACATATCCTGTGAGCGAGGGCTGGGGAGGAATGCCCACCACCCAGCCCTTCTCAGATGAGCCTCCCTGTGCCACACTCAACTCCCTGCTCACGCAGCTGCTCAGGTGGTCATCACAAAGTTACCTTCTGTGGTGAAACACATAAGACCCGCACACCGATGGGGGAGAGGTGATTTCCACTGTTCTAACAGCTTAGCGTGCAACAGGCATGGGACAAGAGCAAGGAGACAACGGCACATGTCACACTGCTGCAACCCACTGCTACAGGGACAGCCAGCTCAGCAGGACCCCAGCACAGCCTCAAGTGCTGGTGTTTCCTAGTCCGCACTACTTAGGATTGCACAAGTCCTCTACATACATACATACGTTATACTTCATGAGGGTTGTTTTTTTAGTTTTGTTTTCTGACAGGCTCTTGCTCTGTAGTTCATTCAGGCTGGCCCCAAACTTGCAGAGATTCTCCTGCCTCAGCCTCCCCAGTGCTGGGATTACAGGTGTGCACCACAAAGCCCAGCTGTATGCTATACTTCACACAGATGGTGCTCAAGGATGTTCTCCCACTGGCTGCCTTCAGCTCTACGTGGGGTGCGGATGCTCAGGGAAGCTGCCGCTGCCAGCCTCCAGGAAAGCACTGGGACGGATCAGCCCAGCAGCCCCTGGACCTAACTTCTGCTGAGCTTCCTGAGCTAAAAGAGTGTGCGTGACTGGGACTGGCTCCCTGCCCAATGTGCTGGCTGAAAACAGGAGACAAGGGCAGCTACCCCTTCAGCTGAAGAAAACGTATTCATCAGGAGTGTAGCACACACTTTTAATCCCAGCACTCAGAGAGGCTAAGGCCTAACCCTAAATTCAAACCCAGACTGGGTAACTAGTGAAATCTGTCTTAAAATAAAAACAAAATGGCTGAGGCTGTAGCTCAGTGGTAGAATGTCCTGGGTTCAATCCCACTACTGCGGGGGGGGGGGTAATAAAGGCGTTACATTCATTCCTTTAACAGCCCAGGCAGCAGGAGCGGGCGTGGTCCCTACAGTCCCCTGGGCTTTTCTCAGGGGACACCACAGCTGCTGCCCCAGAAGCACAGAGCTGCCGAAAGGTCTCCAGTCCCAAATCTGGGTTTGGAAAGCTGCTCACATTCCCATATGCAAAGTGAGGCTGGGGCTGAGGTCGGCTCCTCCCTGGAGAGCCAGGCTCACCTCCAATGACCCTCTCGATGGCTTGCTCAAAGTGCTTCTCCTGAACAGAAGGACTCAGGTGGCGGGCTGCGATCAGGGCAGCTTCATTGCACACATTAGAAATATCAGCACCTGCCCCAAGAAAGGAGAAATGGCCAACAGTCAGTGCTCCCGGCTGCAAAACGCAACCAGGTCGGTTTTGTTAAAGGAAAATCTCAGTAGGGCGAAGGTTAACTTCAACACAGTGCTTACTCAAAGTCAATCAGTCATCTTTTTTCTGGAAGGACAGGGGACTGAACCCAGGGGCACTCTACATCCCAACCCTTTTATTTTGGGAGGACAGGGTCTCACTAAATTACTCAGGTTGGCCTAAAACCTGTGATCCTCCTGCCTCAGCCTCCTGAGCAGCTGGATTATGGGTATGCATCAATGGGCCTGGCTGTCACCATTTTTAGCCAAATTTTATGGTTATACAACTTTATTGACAATTCACAGACCATAATAGTATACATATTGATTTCAGTAAATTTATCAAGTCATACAACTAATTGTAGGGCACTTTCTTCTATGATTTCTGATACCCTACACCTGTTCTCACTTTCCCTTCCATGCATGAGCCCAGCTAAACTTCTTCCGTGCCCGTTAATTTGGGTATTCCAGATTTTTGTACAAATGGAAACATGCAAGATGTGGCTTTTTCACCTGGCAGCTATCAGAGGGGAGCATTTCCTAGGCTCATTCTTGTTGTACCATGTCACAGTACCGTATTTCTTCTCACAGCTGCAAAGTGTTCTTTCACATACCACGTACTGTTGATTCACTCACTCACTGGTGAACATCTACAGTGGTTCCACTTTTCTTTTTTTCGGTACCGGGCATTGAACTCAGGACCTTGCACTTGAGAGGCAGGTGTGGTGACAAGTGAGCTAAATCCCCAGTCCCAGTGGTTACCAATGGTGATCCTATGCAATGTACGTGCAAGTCTGTGTGAACACACATTTTTTATTTTCATACACACACACACACACACACACACACACACACACATCACACACATACATATAACATATACCTAGGAGTGAAACTGGCTAGGAGAGAATTGTATGCTAATCTTAAGTTTACTTTTGCAAGAAAAAAAAAGCAGAGCAATCGCTTCTCGGCCTTTTGTCTAAGATCAAGTGTAGTACTACTGAAAGGACTAGCACACTGATTTCTACTGTGGCCACACCATTTTACAGTCCTAATAGCAATATACAAGACATTCTCATTATCCTCGCCAAGTCTTGTTTTTGTCCGTTTTGTGACTGCAGCCATCCTAGTGGCAATGAAGTGGTATCTCTTCAAGGTTTTAATGTGCATTTCCCTAATGACCAACAATGGTGAGAATTTCTTCATATACTGTTGACCCTTGTTTGGAAATACATATCCAAGACCTCTGTCCATTTTTCAGTTGTGTTCTTTCTGTGGCTGAGCTTATTTATCTATTCCGTCAACCCTATTAGATACATGATTTTTAGTCTATAGGTTGTTTTTTCACTGTCTTGATGGTATCTTGGTATGAAAAGGTTTCAAGTCCAATATATTTTTCCATTTCTTACTTATGCTTTTGGTCACATACTTAATACTGTCAATTTGAAGGTAATGAAGACTTACCCTGTATTTCCTTCCAAGAGTTTTAGTTTTAGGACTCAAATATAAAAATCTTTTATGCATTTTTAGTTCAGTTTTGTATAGGATATCCCTGCAAAGTCATGGTTTTAAGCTCACAGTCTTAGGTGTTTACAGATCTTGCTTTACAACTTAAGTAATAATTGTTTGTGGAAACCCGCTCATTTCACAGAAACCACAAATATTCTCCACATTTTTTTTTTTTTTTTTGGGAAGGATTGCCAAGTAGCCAATCTGAACGTGTTATTCAATTCTCCTTGCAGCTGACCGGCTGCTGCCCTATAACCCACAGTCATGCACCATTCCCACATCCTCATAGGTGCTGTACCACAAGTAGCTAACTCAGTTTTGTTCTTCTTAAAGCCCTAAGATCCTTACAATGCCTCCCAAATGCCCTATACCTGCTAAGACTTTATTAATAAATTATTTTATTAAATTAAATTACATAGGGCCAGGAATTCAACTCAGTGGTTGCTGCCTGCCTCGCAAGCGCAAGGTCCCAAGTTCGATCCCCAGTACCAAAAAATAAATTAATTAATTATATAACTGCAGGAAACATACCATATTTGGGTTTAAACTAAAAGGGCATTAATAGGCATTTCTGTGATCATGTTTGAAATTGTTTTTTTTTTCTTTTTTGAAATTCTTGATTTTTCACAATTTGCAGGTGCTCTAGGATTGTAAACCCTATGAATTTTGGGAGTCCACTGTATATGAGGGTAAGGTCCAACTTCATTCCTTTGCACGCACCATGCGTTGAAAAGACTGTTTTGCGTACTTGGTTTTTAAGTATTATAGAAAAAAAGTTACAAAAATATAATACTGGTCTTTATTATTTATCTAAGTGGTTACCTTTGCTGGTATTATTTCTTCTTTTTTTTAATGAAAGCATATTATTTTGCACTCAATAAACAAATATATCAAAGATTCATGCCCCTTCAGGGCCCAGTCAAAGGCCTCAGGGCTGTCTGTAAGTAAACGCCTACATTTTTTTTTTTTTTTTTTTTTTGAGGTAGGGTCTCTCTATGTAATTCAGCCTGCCCTTGAACTCAGTATGTAGCCCAGGCTGGCCTCAAAATTGCAACAATCCTCCTGCCTCAGCCTCCTGAGTGCTGGGATCACAGGTGTGCACCACCATGCCCAGTGCAAATCTTAGGAAATTCTGATAGGTTATGAAGAGGGCTCTGACTAGAGATCATCCCTTGTGGCTGCCATCTAGAGCTTACATTTTAGAGTTTGGGCTACAAGTAATTAGCTCCAGTAATCCCAGCCATTTAAACCAGGGCCAGATGAGGTAACTGATCAGACAGAATTGCCACCAAAGAAAGTCATATTCTTAGTCAGAGCCTCTTCTCTCTCCATCTGTTATACCAGAGCAGTCTCCTTTATTTTGTGTAGAACAAAGCTTACTGTCAAAGATGGCACCTTAGAAAATAACTCTCAGACCATCTTTCAGCAAGGTTCTCATAAGGGTCACCTGAACAGCTTCTTCCCAGAATACACCTCATCCAGGTGCTCACATGACAGACTCACAGATCAACTGGCCCTGGCTGTTTTCCAGCTCTGGCACCAGACCAAGGGGATCCTTCCTAAAGAACCACTCAGGTTGATATTAATGACCTTGTGCCTGCAGAGGCTCTTGGCTGACATCACTGCAACTTGCACTAATCTCCATGCATCACAGGTGCTGCAGGACTGGTACCATTTCATAGGATTTCAAGTTATTGTCTCGTGTGCTTCCACTTCAGCCTGAAGGACTTTCTTCAGCTCGTCTCAAAGAGCAGATCTACTAATAATAAACCCCCACAGCTTTCTAAAAGTTCAAAACGTTCCCATGTCTCCATCCCTCTCGACAGACCATCTTGCCAGACGTGAAATGTCCAGCTGAATTTTTTTTTCTCCTTTTTGGTGTCTTTTGAGACAGGGTCTTACTATATAGCTCAGGCTGTCCTTAAACTCACCAGGCCCAGGCTGGCCTTCAAATCTCAGCAAACCTCCTGCCTCAGCCTCCCAAGGGCTGGGATCACAGGTGTGCACCACCATGCCTGGTGCAGCTGAATTTCTGTCTCAACACTTCAGCAAGTTGCCAATGCTTCCAACCTCGAGTGTCTGCAGAGAACCTGGCCGTAATCTCACGGAAGAATTGTGCACATCCTCAGTCACTGCCACCTTCAAGTTCTCCACCCTTGGGCTCTGGCAGTCGGATCAAGGGTCTCACTGTGCATTTCTGGGTTTACCACTACTTTCCAGTTTGCTCAAAATTGCTACCTTTCAGTTTTTCCAATTTCTCAGATGTGTAGGTTCGTTGTCTGCTGTCTAGTTTGGGAATTCTGAACCATTATTTCTTCAAATATTCTGCCCTTATGCTCTGCCCTGTTCTGGAACCCCTGCAATGCATGTGTCTTGGTGGTGGCCTGTATCACATGTTATCACAGGTTCTTTAGGCTCTAGTTTTCTTTGTTTTTTTTGTATCTTGCTTTTTCATACCAGGGATCAAACTTAGGACCTTGCGCTTGTGAGGCAAACATGACACCACTGAGCTAAATCTCCAGACCAGGCTGCTTTTTCCTTTTTATTTTTTGGTGTTTTTGAGACAGGCTCTCACTATGTATCCCAGGCTTGACTCAAACTTGTGGTGATCCTCTTGTCTCAGCCTACCAAGTGCTGAGATTACAAGAGTGTGCCACCATGCCTGGCTTCATTTGTTTGTTTCTTTTTTTTTTTCTTTTTTTCATTCTTGTTTTTCTTTCTGCTTTACAGACTGGGTAACTTCATCTAAGCTCCAAGCTCTAAGATTTCTGTTTCTCTTCTGTCTGCTCAAATCTGCTACTTAACCCCTCTAATGAGTTCTTCAGCTCTACTTGGTCTTATAACTTCTACTCCTTTGCTACTATTGGAGAATATATGCAATAGTTTTCATAGTTTCCTATGGTCCTTTATCTAAGGTTTCTTGTAAACTCAAGTGCACTTAAGATAGTTAACTTTACCAACTGCTTTGTACATCCAGTTCTGTGCTTCCTCGGGACAGGTGGTATTTTCTTTTTTTGCTTTCACTGTGAATAGACCACACCTGCTGTTCTCTGCAAGCTTTGTACTTTTCGGCTGAATCATTAGCCACATTTTTCAAACCCTTTGTTTATTTTTATTTATACACTGTCGTGCAAAAAGTACAAGTAGAGATCAGCTGGGCATGGTGGCACACACCTGTAAACTCAGCACTAGGGAGGCTGAGGCAGGAGGATTGCTGTGAGTTCGAGACCACTCTGGGCTACACAGTGAGTTCCAGGTCAGTCTCAACTACATAGTGTCC